GAATACGTACCTTGTTGTTTAATACCTTACCCGTGTAAATCAAAAACAAAAAGGCTTTTGAGCATTTCTCTGGCTGATCTTCTCTGTACAGATTCATATATCTGCAGACGATATCTCATTGATTATTTATTTGAGCCTCTCTTTTGAACTATTTCGTGTGTGGAGACAACGAGAAAGGATGAGTGAGGGAGGGAGGGATGACTCCCATCCCATGTCAAAATAGATGAGTATAAGAGGCCCATCAAATAGTGCTTGAGCCCATTAGATATAGTGAAATGTGAACAATAGGCGCAGCAATAACTTATCCTGTGTAACACTTGGCCTCGCATTGCCCTTCACACAATCCACACACATCCAATCACAACCTCATCATATATCTCCCGCTAACCTTTTTCTTCTTTTTTTTTTTTTTTTGACTTTGATCTCCACCAGTTCTTCTGATCAACCATGGCTGCTGCTCTAAGTGCTGCAGTCTCTTTACCTTCCTCCAAGTCATCCTCTCTCCCCACCAAAACATCCTCTGTATCCCCTCAAAGGATTTTCCTCAAGAAGGTATCGTTTCGTTTCGTTTCATTTCATTTAATTATATTTGAATCACAAACAAAAAGCTGGATCTTGACATGCATAATTGCTATACATACAGAGCACACTGTGTTACAGGAGGAGAGTTGTGTCAGTGAAGGCTCAGGTGACAACAGATACTACCGAGGCACCACCAGTTAAAGTAGCCAAGGAGTCAAAGAAACAGGAAGAAGGAATTGTTGTCAACAAATTCAAACCTAAGAACCCTTACACTGGTCGCTGCCTCTTGAACACCAAGATCACCGGCGATGACGCTCCCGGTGAGACCTGGCACATTGTCTTCACCACCCAAGGTACGTAAATCCCTTTATTTAAGGCATTGCATTTTGTATTCTGAGGAATTTTCCGAGTGATTAGGTTCGTTGATGAATTAGGTGAGATTCCGTATAGAGAAGGGCAATCGATAGGAGTGATTCCAGAGGGAATTGACAAGAACGGGAAGCCGCACAAGCTCAGGCTTTACTCTATCGCCAGTAGTGCCATTGGTGACTTTGGAGACTCCAAGACCGTAAGCAAATAATCCCTCTAACAAAGTATATATATATATATATATATATATATATATATATATATAATGATTACAAAATGATCTTCTCTTTATCTGGCAAATGGATTCTTCTTTTGCAGGTTTCTCTCTGTGTCAAGAGACTAGTTTACACAAATGATAGCGGAGAGATTGTTAAGGGGGTCTGCTCCAACTTCTTGTGTAAGAAAGAAGACTAGTGTTGGATCGATTACGGTTTGAACTGTTCTTAGTGTTTGTTATGTTCCGGTGTTTTCAGGTGACTTGAGGCCGGGTGATGAAGCTAAGATCACTGGACCTGTTGGGAAGGAAATGCTTATGCCAAAAGACCCTAATGCCACCATCATCATGGTATGTCCTCACTTAGAGAGCATAATTTAATCAACACTTGTACTGATTACTTCTTGTTTTCTGTTTCCTTAGCTTGGAACAGGAACTGGAATAGCTCCATTCAGATCATTTTTGTGGAAAATGTTCTTCGAGGAACACGAGGACTACAAGGTGAAACCAAAAGAAAACTCTCTGAGACACATTTGTCGCCAATTATAACACACTCACTAATTGAATTTGCCAATTATATGTGCAGTTCAATGGTTTGGCCTGGCTCTTCTTAGGTGTACCCACAAGCAGCTCACTGCTATACAAGGAGGTACATAAGCTAAATCCTAGTCAACTTTACCAATGTTGTCTTGTGCAAAAGCTGTTGTTGACTTGTGTGGATAATGACAGGAGTTTGAGAAGATGAAGGAGAAGAACCCAGACAACTTCAGGCTGGACTTTGCGGTGAGCAGAGAGCAGACGAACGAGAAGGGAGAGAAAATGTACATTCAGACAAGAATGGCAGAGTATGCAGAAGAGCTGTGGGAGTTGCTGAAGAAAGACAACACCTTTGTTTACATGTGTGGTCTTAAGGGTATGGAGAAGGGTATCGATGACATTATGGTCTCACTTGCTGCTAAAGATGGTGAGGACATTGATTTCATTTCATTTGTTTTTGAGAAGTGTGTGCCACATGTTTTATTAAACTGTTTGGTTTGGGTGGGAACAGGGATCGATTGGTTGGAGTACAAGAAGCAATTGAAGAGGAGTGAGCAGTGGAATGTTGAAGTCTACTGATGAAGGCTTGTGAGGGAGTTATTATATAATGTAGATAAAAAGCTGATGCATTGTGAAATCTTCATTTATGCTTCTTTCTTCTTTCTCAAGGATTTTCCATCAAAACATTCAAAAGAGAGCATCAATACCATCAAACTAGTCTTTCTCACTTGTTGTTCATGTTATATTTCTTGCAACAATATAGTGAGTTTTGTGATTTATGTTTTTCATTTCTAAAAAACTTTTCTTTTTGGACTCTGAATATGAAAAAGAGGACTAGGTGTCAAAAACTTTTCTCTTCAGATTTTTGTACAATTTATGGTGTGGATCTTTGAGTTAGTTACACAGATACAATCATGGTCACTAAAATTTGGTGAAGTTAATACTTTTCTCTTGGATCGGTCCTCTTTTTGTTCCACATTTAGTAATGACGATGTGTAAAGGATTCCGGCAAAAAAGGGGACTGGTTTCTGAATTGAAAATATATAATTCGTTATTTTGTTATAATCAACATCACAATTAGATATGTACAGACAAACTAAGACAGTAGAAAAGTGGTGGGACTGAAAAGTTCTAGTGGACACAAATCAGCTTGCAATTCATGAATTTGGGATTAGGCAAATCCTAAACCCAATGGCTCTAAGCAATCCACTTTCTAATCTTTAAACAAACGGAGAAAGAAGCTAAAAGTAGCCAACTTTAAGTAGAGTCATCAACCTAAGGACCTTTTTGAGTGAGGTATTACAACACATTCTTCTTTGCTTCGTTGGATGGCAATTTCCTGATTTTTGCAACGAAAAGGCCGCTGGTTGCTGAGGTGGAATGATCAAACCGCAGTGTCTTAGACGTGCGACCACTTCTACACGGCCAATCCTCGGCCATTTCAATCTCTTGTAGCTCTGCATCATCATAACCCAGTTTTCTGTTAGTCTCCCCACTAGTCCATAAGTAAGGAACAAGAAATACAAGATTCAAACAAAATCTGACCTATAGCACCTACAAAGTTTGAGTTTTATCTCGAAAACGGTAGCACAAAGAATATATTTTATGTACCTGCAGAGGAATTTTCAGCAAGGAACTGATCCACCACATCTTCGTTTTGGGCATGCGTCAAACTGATAGTTACACGAATTATATCACTGATTCAGGATAAAAGAGAAAAAAAAAAAAAAAAAAAAGAGCACAAAGAGCTTATTGTGATTGGATTTTCACCTGCAAGTGCTGTACACTAGGGTGCCAGCTTCTCTCAACAATCTGAATCCATTTCTCAGTAGATTCAACTGCAAACAAAGGCCCTGGCAATGATCACCAGAGAGGCAATAACAAGGGCACAGGAAACACCAACAAACTTATGGAATTTACCTGAAGAGCTGATAAGTTTCTATCGGTTCTCTCAGCATCCAGTACACGGCGTTCCAGAGTTGTCCAACCCCATTGCTCAAATTTCTGGATATGTTTGATTGAACCATCGTGTGTGCACTCTGCGTCTACAAGAACCTGCATATTTCCACTTCAATCTTTAAGTTGTGTCACTTTTAAGTGACTGTATCTGCATCCGCGGATCAAAAGTATACCTTATCATACCCACAATATGCATAATCATCTTGGTCAAGGGATGTATAAAGTTGCTTCTTTGTAAGCCCGATTACTCCAGAACCCTGTCCGTAGAAAATAACTTCGGGCTGTCCATTCTGCGGCAAAACAGAATTCTTCCTGGCCTTAGCTTCTTGTTTCCTTTGTTTGTAAGGTCTACGGGAGGTCCACTGCGTGAATGTGTCTTCATGATCGTCCATACATGGTAGGTTTGTGGTTGGTGGTACTGAGAAAGTGGTTCCATCAGCAAGAAAAAGACGGGTCCTTTCAGCAAGCCCATATTTGAGAAGCATAGTTCTGCAGGCAGCAAGACGATGCCTTGCAACATCGACACCAGTGGCAGTGCCCTTGTCACCGAGTAGGTCAAGCATCATACATAGTTTAGCACCTGAGAGTAATAATATTCCCGAATGGACACAGAACAAAATCAAAGCAGCGCAACGAGTAAGATGGTGGAACGAGAGAAGAGAGATGTATAAATAAATACCAGGAGCAGCACAAAGATCCAAGACATGGTCTCCTGGGGAGATAGCAAGAGCTGAGACAGCGGCACCGGAAGCTGCATCGATTCCGTACATCTGGAAAGCCGAAGAAAGGTTATGAGAACCGAATAAGCGAGAGGAGAATTGGTGTTTGGTTGTTCTCACCGTGCCTTGCTGATAGGCCTTGGATCTGGCTATATGAACATGTGGAGGGATAGAGTAAAAGCCTGGTAACCAGTTCACCTTGTCCAGTTTACAGTTAATTTGGGATTCAATCTCTTCGAGAGCATCCTCGAACCCAGGTTTCAACCTTCAAACGGAACGGACCTCTCGGGGTTTCAATGCCAAATCTTGAGAAAAGCAAAGAGGGGGTGGTGGTCTCGAGTTACCTTACATAGCGTGGAATGGAATTTCCGTGAGTATAGATTGAAGGATCAAGGCCATTAGCCTCTAGAAAGCTAAGGAAAGTCTCCGGTAACTGTAGCTTCGACGTTTCTTCCATAGAGAGAGAGAGACAAGTGTTTGGTCGGAAAATTAGTCGGAGGGACGAGAACAGAGAAGAGCAGGGCGCAAAAGGCTGAGCAGCCCAAAGCCTTTTTATAGATACTCAAAAAGCCCAAAAAGTAAAACAATCAAAGTCAAAGGGTTTTGTATTTATTTCACTTATAAAAATACACACACACAGCTTTTATTGAAAGTTTTGATTACAAGAAAGAAAGAAAGAAGATACCGCAATTCTAAATAGAAAATGATTTATTACATCACACTGGCAATTATATTATTCGACAAGAAGGATGAGAATCTTAATATGATTAGTTTGCAGATGGCTCCTCCTCCTCCTCGTTGATGGGAAAGCTGTGATCCACCCAGGCCAAGTAGCCACCTCCCATGTTTCTCACTTTCTTGTAACCCTATATTTTTACCATATATAATATGAATGATTCTTTGGAGATTAAACACATTAGTCGGAGTGTATAAATTAGTATATATACTTACTGCGGCAACAAGTTCAGTTGTGGCTTTTAAGGATCTGGCTCCACTCTGACAACCCTGTTTGTATCATACATATCATTTACCATATTTTATCAACCCCATGATTAAAATCCCTCTTCATGTGATTTTGATCTTAAGGACTTCCTATGTGTAAAAAAGTAATTAAGGAAGAAAAGAGTTACCACAAGGATATCATCAGCTTGGTCGAGAAGAGAAGAGACTTGCTCTAAGAAGTCTTGATTCTTCGCTCTACCTAGAGTAGAGATCACAAGGCTTTCCATTAAAAAAATACAAGTGTTAAAAATTTAATAATGTGTAAACCATATTGAACCTAGAACACCTCTTAGGGGTTTGGATGTTGTATCCAATTACTTTACACAAAATTAAAAAATTTAACACTTATAAAAAAAAGAAAAAAAAAACAAAACATTTTTAAAAAAATACAAATGTTAAAAATTTAATAATGTGTAAACCATATTGAACCTAGAACACCTCTTAGGGGTTTGGATGTTGTATCCAATTACTTTACACAAAATTAAAAAATTTAACACTTATCAAAAAAAATAGAAAAATAAACAAAACATTTTTTAAAAAATACAAGTGTTAAAAATTTAATAATGTGTAAACCATATTGAACCTAGAACACCTCTTAGGGGTTTGGATGTTGTATCCAATTAGTTTACACAAAATTAAAAAATTTAACACTTATAAAAAAAAAGAAAAAAAAACAAAACATTTTTTAAAAAATACAAGTGTTAAAAATTTAATAATGTGTAACCATATTGCACCTAGTACACCTCTTAGGGGTTTGGATGTTGTATCCAATTAGTTTACACAAAATTAAAAAATTTAACACTTATAAAAAAAAAGAAAAAAAAAACAAAACATTTTTAAAAATATACCACGGTCCAATCTGTACTCTCCACATT